AGTAGCAGAGAGAGGGCAGGGCGGAGGCCAGGAGACACTAAATATTTCCAGAAGAATCTTCCAGAATCCTGTCACTTCCAATCAGGCCTCATCTCCCAACAGCACTTCTGTTCCAAAGCCTTCTAAGTTTTGCCACCCCAAAAAATGCATCACCTATTTTCACAAGAGGCTTTGTAGGGACATCTAGACCTAAATCATTAAAGCAATTAAGCAAGCAAGAAAAAGAGTAAGTAAATAAATAAATCCCCAGTGTTATTTGTGTAAAGGAGACTTCTTCAGCTTTTCCTAGTTGGCGCTTTTGGGGATTTGTGGAATTGTGCTTCAAATAATTAATCATAATTCTACCAGGTTGATCTGCTACATTAACCTCATTACTAAACTCTAAATGCATATATGGGCAGTAGAACCACACCGAAATCTAAGTACTACTTACTGGTGACACGGGCCTTCTTGGGAGATAGCATGGCCCTCAGGAAGATGGCATTTAAACCAGTTCTTCCCTCCTGGTGTGTCATGGTCCCTCATTCCCCACACTCCAACCCTTGTTGACCTGTCCCCCCCCCCATAGAATAGATATGATCCACTTTGCCTTTTATAAATTAACAATTCAGAATGAATTTTGATGAGAGTTTGAGAGGAAGCAGAAAGGCTTTGTCCAACACAAAATTCTGCCCCCTCCACGCAATTTAAATCAAGTCATCCAAGTGACAGAAAAACATGCAATGGCTTCAGAATGTATTACCAATAGAGTGAGTTTTAAGAATTGAAAACCATAATGTCAGAGTGTAAGAGGGATGGTGTTGCGCAAAAGAATGAAACCTGACTACTAACTCGCCATTTCTAGAAAGGATGCAGATGAATGACGATCTCCTTTTGAAGCACAGAATCCATGCAGTGTTTAAAGAGCATGCTGAAGAAAGCCCCTGTACCTCCAGGCAGGCCAGATCACTGGAGCTCAGTGCCACACAGAAAGTAGGTGAGCATGAGTGTGCGGAGTCTAAGTCATACTCTGCCTGCCTTTGCAGTCACTTTAACTGTACTACTCTCTCTTTTGCCTGAATTGATGCGGCGCGGTTGAAAAACCCTTGTCTGTGCCATGGAAATTAAAAGGTTCTGCGCAGGGAAGCCTAGAAACCAATAAATTTGGCAGCTCCCCTATGCCCACCAAAAGTTTCATTCAGGAGCTACCTAACACTTAGTGCAGTGGTGTTTCACATTAACTAGACGGGCTACTTGTTGAACAACTTAGGTTTCATGCGACATGAAAATAATTATGCTGTTTTCATTTAAAATTTTGAGATTCTTAATTATTTTATTCCACACAGTTTTACAGACATTTAGGGGATCACAAAACAATGTACTTTTTATGAAATGTATTTTGCATTGGATTGTTTTCTAAACCTTACCATCATAATGGAAGTTATATAACTCAAAGATGAAATCCTAAAAATATCTTGTTAAGTGAGAAGGGTGACAGAAATATTCATATCTCCATATGTAGACATAGATACAGAAATCAGAAAGATTTCCTATCTTTTCTTCTGGGTTCTATCTTAAGTTACTTGAGCCATGATGTAAAAAAATGTGAGTTCTGCACACAAGAACATTAGGTCTAAAACTCAATGATGCCACTTTGACTGTAATACAAGTATATAAGCTCTGAAATTTTCACAAAATGACAGATGCACTCATGTTGAGAATATGTTTAAACTATCTAGGAAAACTAATATTCATATTATTAGAAGAAAGGGAGAGAAAAACTGAGGAGTGAAGAATGGACAGACAGACAACAGGCAACTTCACTCTGTCTCATGAAGAAGAATATAAAGACACCTTGCATCAAGGCTGGAGGACATGGCCATCAGGGATTTGGAAAGCTCTATTCAGAGAGAGGCCACAGAAAGCTGTTGTACTGAGAGCAGAACGTAGCCTACTGTGCCAGATGCAGAGAATAGCTGGGCACCAGATCAAGTTCCAGAGTAGAAGCTTACAGGAGAAAATGCTCAGGTGAAAAGGGCTCCAGTTCTGGAAAGGACTCTGTTAGCATAAAACTTCAGCACAGGAGCAATGTTAGATTTAAGGGAAAATGGCTTGAAGTAACAGGCTGAATAAAATGAAAGTCAAGAAAAATTAGTACTTTTTTCTTTACCCACTCTTAATTCATCCATTTCTATTCCTTCACCTTCACATGCTTTTATACCTACTGAGATCCAATTCATAACACTGAGAAGACAATGAATTAAAGGAGAGGTCTGCATCAGGTGGCATTAGTTCAACAATGCAAGTTGGAGAAAATTAGAGATTGGGCTCCACTTCTGCCTCCTACCAGTTGTGGTAACTTACAATAATTTTAAATCAATCTTTTGCCCTTTGAATTTAAGGAGCCGTAAGCCATAATGAGACATGAGTTACATGTACACTATACGGCAAGAAGAGTGGAAATAATTCCTGATATGTAGATACTGATAGAAGTTATTACTACTTGATCCCAGATAAAATTATCCAGCATCTGGATCTATAAATTTGCAAATTCTTGTATTTCTAGTACAGAAGCCTTATTATCTCATAAAGAAAAAAAAATAGAAGTGTAAAGCATTCACACCTGCTGAATAAAACCACACATCTTTCAGTGCATAATTGTTCTCTCAATCTGGTTGCAACTCAAGCTCCAAGAATCATTGTCAAGACACAAATTCTTCAAACCCTCCCTGCTGACCTTACAACCACCATCTATTCTATATTTCTTCTGTATAATCTCGACAAAATCTATCACTCACTTAAAGTCTGGAGAATTGAATGCACCCTAATGAAAAGGCCCTTTTATTGGGGTGGCATGTAGTTCTCCCTCTTCAAGTAAAATGTGGCAATACACAAGATATGCAAGGATCTGGGTTACACTCCCCAGTTCTGGGTGATGAAATGTGCCTGAGTAGTGGCTTCTGTAAAGCTCACCTGAAGGCATTGCTTCCTTCATTTCCTGTAACACCTTGGAAAAAATGTTCAACATCTGGTGAACCCAATGTATTCAGCATCACTGAAAACAGAGGCCAAGATACCTTGTTTTCCTGCTCAGGTACAGATTTGTCTCTTCTTACCCACTATGCTACGCTTACTCCCAGCAGTTTTCTATATTGTCTTCAGTGATCTTGTCATTTTATCACATCTGTTGAAATCCATATGCTAAAGACTTCATCTTCTATACCTGCATGTATGTTTAAGTGTGTAAGGTAGGTAACTATACTACTAAGTTTTTGTTGGATCATTGAACAGAATAGTTTGAACTGTCATTGTTTTACTCTCCACTTTTTATGCTTCAGTTCTGTGACTTGAACAACTATTTCTAAAATGACAATAGGTAACTTATCAACTAATGTTTTCTTAGCATTGATGCTTTTGAAATTCTGTACTATTTCTACCATTTTCCTGTCTTGATTTTTTTCTTTAACAAAAAATGACTTCATTCTTTCTCACCTTATGGTAACTGAAGGTTGGTCCTTTAGGAAGAGAATGTTGGGTTATGAGAATGTGTTCCATATTCTGATTTTTATCCCTTTGAGAGGTGAGGCAATCTCCCTCTTTCTCCCTCTGTCTCCCTCCTCCCTCTCTTTCTGCTCTCTCCAATTTTGTCAGTGCTGGTCCCTACTCCTAATACTTCTTGACGTTGCCTACAAGCTTCTCTCGTTTTTCCCACTCTCTCACTCTCACTTCCCTTCTCCCTCATCTTTTTCCTCCCAATGTCCTCCTGTTTGCCCTTCCCCATTTCTGTCCTGCTCTGTCCCTCCCTCTCAAAATGCTCCATATTGATGTGAGGAAACAAAAAGGAGATAAGTGATCCACTGGTTTTCCACAATCCCTTGAATAGATATGCTTCTCTGTGACAACATTATTGGAAGCATTACTATCTAACTTGACAGTAATTCATGGTGAGGCTTTGGACACACAATTAGAGTTTGATGAAACTTTGGGAATGGGTGGGAGTGCATGCTGTGATTTATAGAACTTTAAGATTCCAAAAGTGCAGTATAAGAAATTGCTAGTCTTCATTACAGCTCTTCTCTCAAAAAATCTTAACAGAGAAGCTAAAACTCCTTTTCTTCACAATGCACTATTAAACATCATGCAAAAAATCAAAGGCATGACTAATGTGTGTAGAAAATAGTAATGAATCATAAAAATAATTCACAAAAATTTTATTTTGACTTTCTAAAACAAGCTGAAACCTCATATAAAAATTCAGTTCCTTTAAAAACACAAACTACTTAGAGAATTCAAGAACTTATCATGTTTGAAATGTTTCCTACACCATATTATTCTGCATACAGTAGGGTTAATTAACATTTTCATGAAAAACTCTCTATAGTAATATTCTATTTCTAAACAGGAAGTGTTAAAAATCTGATTTTTAATTTTTCCACTATGAAGTGTTTTGTCCTACTTGAAACATTCGATTTAGAGGAATGGGTACCACAATCTTGACTCCAAAAGGATGTAGTAGCATTAAATCAGCACCTCTAACTTTAGCCCATCTCATTATTAAACGAAAATTATATCCCCACAAAAACATGGATTTTCCAAAGTCCCACATTGATTCTTTAGGAAATTTCATGTCATTGTGCTCAATGACACCTTTGATGGTACAAAAGAGACAACAAGAAGTTCAACAAATTTACTAGAAGGCTACCAAATCTAGGCTCAGAATTTCTAGTGGAGGAGACTGGGTCTCCATCATGTGAGTACAAGTGGACTAACAGAAAGATTGCCTTAGGGAATACAACTAATATGTGCTAAGTTGCACTCAAGAGGTATAAGGGCAACCTAATAAAGATTTAAGCACAAAGAAACACTTTAAAACACTGAATTCCATAAGTGAATGAGAAAAAAAATGAACATGTCAAAAATGATTTCTATGTGGCATCACACATTACTGTGGGGTTCTTTAACTTTTGCAGGAAAATTTCCTATAGTAAAGCCTACTTTCTTAACCTGGATGTGCTGAAGCTTCAGATATCAAAGGGCTGGAAACCGGTAGCATAATAAGTAGCTGAGGCAATTGGCCGAGTTTTGATAACAGGGATTGGTTTGGCTGAAAGCACCATTTGGAGTTTTACAACCACCTCTCTTCCAAAGTCTTCATAAAAACGTGAGAAGTAGCTAGGGCAATTCTTATTCATCCTGGTCAAAAATTTCATGATTTTCTCCTTGGTGGTCTCTGCACTGGCTTCAGGACCACACAGGAACTCATAGCATGGAGGAACACTGCCAGGCACCTGCGTATACTCCAGGTATTTTAGTCTCACAAAATCTTGTGTGAGGAGCCTCTTGGACCCTCCAAAAATGTCGTGCTTCTTGCCGGGATACACTTGCATCCTTTTCAGGAATTTCCAGATCTCTTCTCCAGCAACACAGTAGTCCTTTATGATGAGCACAGAGAGGATTTTTACCAGAAATCCAGTCTTGTGACAGCCCCTGCTAGGGCGAATCCTCCCATTGTTGGCGAGGCTCAGCATGCTGAAAAAGTTGTAGGAGTGAAGAGTGGACTCAACTTCTCTCACTTCCACTGCAAAGACCACCTCCAGGTGGTCACAGACCTTCTTGAAGATATCAGGAAATTGATATCTGTATGGTAGACTAATGGACTGCACCAAATCTTGCCTGGTAAAAGGCTGCCTCAAGTCAAATTTTTTGAGTATGCACCACTCCATCGCCTCAATTGGTCAATCAGGACCTTCTGAGAAACACTCAATGGAGAGACTGCCCAGAGAAAGGCCCTCCTCATAGTCACAACTGGAAACTTTGTCAGCACTGACAGAACGACCAGAAGAGAGACCACCAGGAGATGGTGGTCTCCTCGGAGGTGTCAGGGGAGGCCTGCAGGAAGCAGCACCACTTGGGCCCTCAGTAAAAGAAGACTCCTTTTCCTCCTCTGGTTCTTTTCTTCCTGCAGCTGCAACTGCTGTTGCTTCTTTCATTGCCGCTTTCTCTACAGCTAGTGCCGCTGCTTTCGCTGCTGCTTTCCCTGAAGCTAGTGCTGCTGCTTTTGCTGATGCTGCTTTCGCTACTGCTGGTATTGCCAATTTCCCTGCCCTTTTCCCTGCAGCAGCTGCTGCTACTTTGACTGCTCTGGAGGTGACTGCAGCTGATGCTACTGTTTTAACTGCTGCTGCTGCGGTTGCAGCTTTTGCTGCTGTTTTCACTGCAGCTGGTGCTGCTGCTTTTGCTGCTGCTGATTTCACTGCAACTGTGCTGCTGTTTTGTTGTCTTGCTGAGGCTGCAGCTTGTGCTGCTGCATTCCCGGCTGCTGCTTGTGCTGCGTTTGTGCTGCTGCTTTCTGTGATGCTGCTGTGGATGCAATGCGTACTGCTGCTTTCGCTGCTGCTGTAGCTGAGGCTGCTACGTCTGCTGCTATGCTACTGCTCTGGGTGTTCTTGCTTCCTGTGCCACCTCAACACCCTGCATGTCTTTGGCCTGTGGGCGTTTCTGACAAGGATGACGTTTGCTCTTGTGACCATAAGGCATGATGAATCTGCTTAGGCCCAACAGGGAGGAACGTGAGGAGGAAAGCTTGTGCTGCAAGCACCTGGAGGAGGGAAAATGAGATCGTGTTATCAGCTTTGGCAGAGAGATCTCTCTGGAGTTAACCGATGCTGCTCATGCAGGTGTCTGTGAGAGTGGTGCTCTAGGAACCAACAGTGAAGCTGTTTTTTTCAAGTGTGTCCTTTCACTGGCGTTTAGGAGTGCTAAAAGGATTGCATATTGGTGTCCTGTGTTTATTGTGTTGGGTCCTGTTTGATCACTAGCACAGGTATAACTAACTACCCAGAGGTCCTTTATTTCTCACTTCTGATTTTCAGAGCCTGACACAATCTCAGCAAAGTAATATTCTGTATCCCACATCCATAGGGAAAGAGTGGAAAATATTCTAAGGCAATCACCATGTGATGCACTCTGCCCACTGAGATTTATGGGTAGCCATCCCTCTCTCTCATGGGCTGAAAATGTACGTACTTCTCATTCAAAGAAATCTCCTCATGTCTAGGAACTGCCTGTTACTGCTGCATAGTATTTGAATCTTCTCACCAAACACGCTTTTTGCAACATTTCCTATGCTGCAGTGACTAAAAGAAATAGCCTGGCACGTGTTTCTTGGGCTTGGGACGCTGAATGTATGGATCAGGGTGTGGTTCTGTGATGCCCACTCAGTCAAGGGAGGTCCTTTCAACCACTCATTTGACCTCTGAAACCTTCCTTTACCTGGGACCTCTGTGGTGCTGCTGTTTTCAGTGAGACCCTCTGAGACCATATGACAGCCACATTTCCTTCCTATATTTGTCAAGTTGGAGTAGGAATACATTGTGTTGCCTTAAGTTCTCTCTTCTCAACTAATTATATGTATTGATATATTACTTCCTATTTTCTCATTCAGCTTCTCACATTAGAGACACTACATTAGGTCTAATTTATTTCTCTTATGAGTATGGTCTCTGCTTCATCCCTTTACCTACAAAAGTTTCAAATTCATCTTTCTCTATAGCTGAGTAGTGCTACAATTCTTAAAATAACCACATCTCTTTATCCATTCCTGAGTTCATAGGATTTTCATTGTTACCAAGTTTCAGGTATTATAAAATAGAAACTGTGATGATGAGGGAAAGGATCAAGTCAGAATTATAGAATAAAAACATATATAAATCTATATATATACACACAAGATTGCTACAGTATGTACACTGCTACTTTCTCTTGCAACATTTAAATAAGGTTTTAACTAATACAGTTTGATCAAGATATGTCTCTATTTTGTACCTGGAGTAATCATTCTGATGACATCAGTGCACCTTGGGTTAATTATTTTTATTGTTAATTTGTCTTCAAATTTTGCATTTGTTTTTTTCTCTTTTCAGAATAAAATAAGGAAAGTATGGATTTTTATATAATGGAGTATTGTGCTCTCATAAAAAAGGATTGGTGTGACTTTTTTTTGTGAATAGATACATCTTGATAGCAAACTGTAAAGCAAAGCATACCACACACTCATATTTCAGTATAAAAATATCTGAGAGAAAAGGACAGATGATTTTGTAGTTAATGCTTGGTTTTTCACACTGATCTCAGCCTATTCCTTCTCTAACTTGTAGGAATGTTGAGAAATGCTCCTATTGTGGACTTCAGGCCAAGCACTTTAGAAAAAGTCCCTCCCCACTATTAGCAACACCCCTATCCCATATCATGGAGGAAATTAGTGTGAGTCACAAGCCTATTTCTCATCCTAGGTTGTCAAAAGCCATAGGTTGCCTGGTCCTCATATGGGTTTCTCAGTGACTCCTGAATAGCTGGAAATCTCCCTCATGCTGACTTGAAGGTCCTCTGCTCACCCTGAGACTCTCATGACCCTGTTACCCTCCTGGTAGCAAACAGTCTGATGGACTGTGGACAAGCTGTGACCATCAATCTGGTTGAAACCACAAACCCTGAGAACTGACAGGTGCTCCTGTCCTCTTGTGGCCTTGATTACATGATGGTTCTTACTGTACTGACCCCAGCCCTGGTCCTCGCTAAAAGGCTTTCTGCTCTTGGATCACACGAGACCTCAGCTCACTCGTGGAGCCCTCCATTTTGACCTCGCTGCTCTGGCACCATAATGGTCTCCTTGGCACCTAAGAGTAGGTTCTATGGACTTTGGAGTTAGCAGAGGCCTCTTTTCCTTTGCTGCACTAGAATACCCACTCGTCTTTACCCTGGTAGGCCCCAGATCTCAGACTGGCAAATACCAGCTTGTCTCAGCCAACCTGCGCTCTTGGGCGCTTCCCCCCCCAACCCCAAGAACACGCGGAGGCTTTGTGAGGCGGGGTCCACACCCCCTTCCCAAGGCAGTGTTTCTCCCCTCTCAGGAGAGTACTCACCTCCTCAACCACAGCCTGGGTCCTTTTGCTGACTTTCCCTGGGCTGGCAGAAGTGCGCAAAACCCCTCCCTTGCCCAGGTCCTCAAAAGGGAGGAGGTGCTAGCACCTCCCCTGTTTAAGGCCCTGGAGAGAGGGCAGCAAGAACAGCTTCTCTGGTGCCCCCTCCCTGTGGGTATGCAGGGCTACCATATTCTGACAGGCGATTGGTCAGAGTCATGTGGGTGAGAGCTTCTGGCCCCTCCCTCTGCCACGCCTCCTATAAGGGCGGACCCACACTATGGAGAACTGCTTTGCTGAATTAGCTTGTCTTTTGGACCCAGTATGCTGAGACCTGTCAGTCAGTGAAGGAAAGACCCTGCCTTAACCCCCATGTTACTGAATTGGGTTTTCTCAAACAGCAGATTTCAAAGTCCCAGGCGTCGCACTTTACACTATAATCAAAGGATTTCTTGAAAATGCAGAATCCCTGAAAAGTTTTAAGTATTGCTTCTTTTCAGATATTAGTACACTAGCTCTGTATCTCAAGTCTGATATTATTTGGGAAACCCGCAATACAATGTTGCATGTTTGGTATCCCATGTGTTTGTCAGAAAAACACATACTAACCTTTTCATTTATTTATCCTCAGGCTCAATGTTTATATTATTTTTGCTCTGCAAGAATTAGTTCCTAGTGTACATTGTCTCAGAAGGGTAATTTGAGACCACATTCTTTTAAGAATTACTTACAGTGCTTAGGTAAATTGCTATATTGTTAACAAACATCTTTTTCTTGTTCTTTTATACGGATTCCCTATATATTTATGAATGGTTTTACAATTTATTGCGATATAATGTTTTAGATATGACACATTTTTGTTAAATCATGTAAGAAAATTAATGTGCATGCATTTATGTATCATTGCATTCTGTATAATAAACATTTGCTCATTGATATTTATGTGTATATTTTAGAGTATTTATACATAAAATGAATGAAGCAGCACAACTACTCATTAAAATTAAAATTTTATAATTATCAATATTTCTGGGATATACATTTCTATATAATATTTTATTACATATTTATATTTATGTGTATATGTTTTAGAGTAGTAAGCAATAAGATAAAGTTGCTCGGTTCATTTTCCTTTATAATTGTGGATTGTTGTAAACTCTAGATGAATGTTCTTTGTGGAACTTTCTTAGCTCTGACACCACCTTGAGAATACGAAACTATTAGTGGTTGTTTCTCAGTCCATTTCTGTTAACCATCTTGTATGTGCAGTAAGTATTCTTGTCATTTGAAATTCCTATGTTCAAATACTTCCACTTATAATGCCTCTGTTATGAAGTAGAATGTTTGATATCTGCTTATCTTTGGCTGAAATCTTCAGAGACCACCCAAGGTAACACAGCTCTTCCGCTTATAGGAAACCAGAAGGGAAGTTTCTCTGTCTCTAGGCTATGAGGACACAGCAGGAAAATACCAGCTTCCAGTGCACACTTCAAAGGGATCCCAAAATCCTGATACCTTGATCTTGAAATTATCAACTCTAAATCAATAAGCAATAAAGTTTTTACTTAACCACCCAGTGAATTTACTTGTCTTCTTTTTTTTAAGTGTACAAGTAATACAGAATTTCAAGAAAAAAAATATACAGTAAGAAATCACTAGTTAGTAGATCACACATTGTCATCTTAGAAATAGTTGTTCAAATTAAAAAATTAAAGCATACAAATTGGACATTCAAACAATGAGATTGCAAACAGTTCTGTTCAATGACCCAACAAAAACTTAGTAATATGTATTCTATCTTATAC